TCGAACCCCGGCCTCTCACCTGCTTGCAGGCACTTTAATCCACTGAGCTGTTTGGCTGGCCCTCAGACACTCAACACCACAAAAAAAAAAAAAAAAAAGTCAAAATAGCTTGATTGATGGACAGGCAAAAAGTTGAAGAAACACTTCTCAAAAGAAGCACAGATGATCAATAAATGTAGGAAAAAAGGTTTAATGTCTTTCCCCATTAAGGTAATATAAATCAAAGTTACACTGAGATTCCATTTTGCTCTAGACACAATGGCTGTTCTCAAGAATAGAGAAAACTGGATTCTGGCAAGTGTGCAGAGGGTGGGGAGAGAGGAGGCCCTCTGCACCGCTGGGGGGGTGCAAATTAGGACAGCCCAGGATGGAAGTCAGGATGGCGGTCCCTCAAACAGCAGAAAATAGAACTAGCTCTGATCCAGCTCCACCGCCCCTTTGCACATATCTGAAGGAATTAAAGTTGGTTTACTATAAAGACACCTAGATACCCACACTTACTGTGGCACAGTTCACAGTAGCCAAGATAGGGAACTAGGCAAGATGCCTATCAACAGGCGAATGAATAAAGAAAATGTGAGATGCATACTTACGTCTAGTGGAATATTGTTTAGCATAAAGAACAGTATGTCACCTTCAGGAAAATGAATGAAACTAGAGATCGTTGTTAAGTGAAATAAATCAGACTCAGAAAGAGGAATGTCACATGTTCTTCACATGTGGACTCTAACACAATGACATGAACACAGAAGAAGGCTTTAAAGGAAGAATAAAGGAATAGAGGGGAAGGGGGGAATGTCGGGGAACTTTATTGGGGTAATAGTTGTGATTAAATACATGCAATGAGACCTACTATTTTATAAAAATAGGCACTAATAAAAATCATAAGCTGTTGATCAATAATATAACATATAAAACTAATACTTGTACGCTACTGGATCTGAATGAGTGCCTAATTGGCAAGCTCTTAGTTACAGCATGCAAATCTGATGAATGCTCAAGTATGTCCACTGTGGTTAAGAATCAAGTTGTAGTGATCTACTTGAGTTTGATAAAAAGCCCATAAGTTACCTAGCTTAAGCATGTCTGAATTATATATTAAAGCTGTTTTGTCATATTTTCATTATTTAAATGTAAATATAGGGCCAGCAAGATAGCTCAGTGGACTAACACCTGCTTTGGCAGGCACAAGGTCCAGGGTTCATTTCTTGGTCCCACATGCCAAGTGGGCCCTGCCCCCAGAACGCACTGAGCTGGCAACTGAGTCTGGGTGAGGTGGTGCATACCTGGAATCTCACTGCTGTGGGGGCTAAAAACAGGAGGATCACTCCGAGTCCGAGCTGCAAAGTGAAACTCTGTACCAAATACATAAATGAATAAAGAAAAAAATTATGTGTAATTAAGCCCCTATTCTTAGCCATCACTTCCATGTGTGTACTTCCAAATCTATACCTGCAGACTCGATCCCATTATTATTCTTGCCCATTTCTACTGCCACAAACCCTCAACTTAACACATATATTTAAAAACAAAATTCTTCCCCTAGCCTCCCTCCCTCCCTCTTCTCCTGTGTTCCCCCTTTGTCTTAGTCACCCACACATTTGTGGAGTCAAGCACTTCTAGGAGCCAGCAGGGCCAAGGTAGCACAAAGCATGGTCCCTCTGCTTTCTGGGGAGCTTCAGTTCTACTATGCAAAGATGCAGGCCTCCCTGGTTACCCTCGAACTGTGCGGCTAGTTAGGCTGTCTGCGCATGTGATGTGTTACACATCTTATACTGTGGTCCTGACTGCCTGAGCCAGGAAGGGCCAAATTATAGGAGAAAGACTTGAGTGCCTGCTCATGGTATGAGTCCAGGAACTTGCTAAGCGACTTCTGTAAAGCGGCAGAGGCTGTCCTGAGCATGGGCTGCCGCTGATCTGTGTGTTGTCTCTGATGTGTAAATTCACTGTGACAGTGTGACAGGACCTCAAGTGAGAGGCAGCATTCTATGAAGAGTGCTTTATGAGCATGTGATCGGGTTTAAGAGAAACTTTTTTTATGAATTTAGGACAGGGTGTACAGGGTGTACAGGGTCTCACTACATAGATCAGACTTGTAGTGATCTTCCTGTTGATAGCCCCCCAAGCACTGGGATTATAGGTGCATGCCACCATGCCCAGTCTCAGTGTGCACTGGGGGAGGGGGGCAGCATGGCATGCCGGGGATTGAACCCCAGCTGCTGTGCTCTGCCTAAGTAGGCGCTTTAGTCTACTAAGCTTTCTGTCTGGCCCGAAACTTGGTTTTTGATTCCTCAACTGTTCAGTTCCCGAAAGCCCACTGGCTTTATTTATCAAGTGGACAAAATAAGAACAGATTGCTTTTTTTCCTGTGGAAATTCCCAATCTGAAACCTAATTTTGGAGCTAATGAGCAGCTTTAGTTGTTGTTATTATAGGCAGCTGAGCTCAGCCCCATGCGGGCCTTCCTCACAGAGCCTGTGAGGCAGAGAGGCAGAAATGCTGCCCTCCTTGCCCAGAGGCCTGGCCTTCGTCTGCAGCATGACTTCTTCTGGATGCTTTCTGCAAGTGGCCATGCCAGCAAAATTGAGTCCCTCTGGCTCAGGCATCCCATAGCGTTTCCATGTGTCACCCCTGTAATTTTACTTGATTTCCTGCTCTATGGCTTGCCTTACTCTTGCTGATAAATAACTCCGTTGTACCATTCTTAGTGATATATAAGCATTATGCACTGTCCTGAGGTCCAGAGAAGGCCTAGGATGCCCTCTGGCTGGCCTGTTTACCTACTGGAAGCTGTGCGCCGTGTGTATTCTCTGCGGTGTGTTCTCTAGGTGTGAGGGTGTCTGGATCGGCTCTGTCCATCCATGGGTTTTGAGGGGCTTACATAACTTTTTTCTAACAAAGTGATTTCTCTCTATCAAGTTTTAGGCTTGGTTCATTGCTTAGCTGTGAATCCTGATGAGGGGGCTCCAGAGCCTGGCTGAGCTGGGGATCAGGGCTCACAGGAGAGGCACAGGGTTCAGAGAGGAGACCCGTGGACACTCAGCAGGGTACTGCTCAGCCTGCCTGTGAAGAGACCCCTTGATGCATAGGACAGTGGGGAGAGCCCCAGAATAACTGCTGAAATAAGACCCTATTTATATAAAATTTAGGAAGTGTAGTAAGCCATAGTTACAAAGTGACCATTAGTGGTCATGGGGAATGGGCTGGAGAGGGATGAAGGGAAGGCTCTGCTGCTACAGTCAGCATCCAGGGACTCAACTCATGATGAGTAAAGGTTTATCTTGGCCCATGGTTTGGGGCCATGATCTACTGGCCCGATGGGCTGTGACAAGCCACGCAGCATGGTGGGGTGAGTGTTGGAATACAGCTACTCACCTGAAAGCTGGAGGTGCAAAAGAGAACAAGGAGGCCTGGGCCACACTGTCTCCTTCCAGGGCACAGCCCCAGGAAGCCAGGCTCCTTGCAGCAGGCTGAAAGGTCCTGCCTCCTATATGTGGCTCTGTGTGTCTGTAGTGTGATGTTTGTAACCCTCTTGGGAAGATACAACAGGGGAATCACTGGGTAAATGAGATTTCTAGTTTGAGTTTTTTGAGGGGTCTCCATGCTGACTTCCATAGAGGTCATACTAATTTACATTCCCATCAATAGTGGGAAGGCTTCCTTTTTCCCTATAGCCCCACCAGCATCTGTTATTGGTTGATTTCTTGCTGGTGGCCATTCTTTCTGAAGATGGAATCTCAGTGTTGTTTTAATTTGTCTTTCTCTAAAGGCCAGCAATGTTGAACATTTTTTTCGTGTACTTATTGGCCATCTGTACATCTTCTGTGAAGGGTCTATTCATTTCACTTGCCCATTTTGAGAATGGGTCTTTTATTGAAAGGAGTCTACTCTTTGAATTCCTTATATATTCTAGGTGCTAGTTGTCTGCTGAGGGATAGTGGGCAAAATGTTTTCCTATTGTAGCACCACGGTTCATGGTAGCTGAGTCATGGAAGCAGCCTGTATGTCTGTGTACAGATGAAGGGATAGAGAAAAGTGGCCTTTACACAAGCAGAGCACTGCTCTGCCGAACAGCCCCACTTTGCTGTCCAGCCCTGCCCTGCCGTCCAGACCCACTCTGCCGTCCAGCCCTGCTCCCCTGTCCAGCCCTACTCCGCCCTGCTCTACTGTCCATCCCTGTTCCGCCATCCAGCCCTGCTCTGCCATACAGATCAATCTGAGTCCTGTGTAGTAAAGTAGATGCACCTTGCATGATAATGTTAAGTGAGAGAAATCAGACACACAGCTAGAGATTTGCATAGTTTGAGAGTATTAAAGAGTAAATAAAGAGAAAATAAAGTAAGTAAAGAAGAAGTAAAGATGGTAGGAAGCAGAGAGCCAGATCTTTCTCTAAGGGAAGGGATGGGGAGGGGCAGGAAAGAGATGAAAAGGAGTGAAGGTGTGCTCTGTACCTGCACCAGCTCGGCAGTCAATGGAGGCAGTGTGGACTACAAGCATGGACCACTAAAGACAATTGTTAAAGGTTCTCCCGACAGTGACCCACACACGGTGGCCTTGAGTACATACAGTGGCCTTTGGGGGCCATTCCAGGCCCAAGGAAAAGCATGAGAATAATGTACGTGCACTGGATCCTGACTGAGCCGACAGCTGCCTCGGTTTCGTACATAACTCTGAATGCTTATAGTTGACTTTGTCCATTGTACCTTAATAATGCTCTTTTGAAACCTACATGAAAAAATGCAAATAGAGAACAGAGTAACTTCCTTCTGGAGTTTTTCTAAGAAAATGAAAGGGGGGACCAAGGCCACTTAGCCTCTTTGCAGCTCTTCCCCACCTGAAGCCATCCTTTACTGAGAGTTCTGGCGTCTGAGGCTCTTCCGAGGTCTTAGAGAAGTGGGTCTGTCGGTAAAATCTACATGGGCAGATAGCGCCCTTATCCATCAAGGTTTAACTTTATGCAATCTCGTGTTTCAGGGCTCATGAATCCAACAAGAGAACAAGAAAACTGGATTCGTGCTGCTGCCCCAGAAGGCACTGTAAGTTTTAGAAGCCAAACCTGGTTTCAGTCCCTGAAGCGACAGAACTGAGAAGAGTTTAAGTCGTGTCTGCTCTTTAACAGTGATCAGCAGGTATGTGACCACACCAGTGCAGGCTCCACTGTTGGTACGTAACTATTGAAAACAACATCGGGCATGAATACAGGCGGACTGCTTGGGGAAGACTTTCAAAATTTGAATTTAGCTATTGTATGCATGTCCTATTGCTCTGTAGGAAAATACAGTAGTTCTCCCTGATGTTGGGGGGATGTTCAAGACTCCAGCGGATGCCCAGATCCACAGACGGTACACACCCCACCTATAACACCTTTCCCTGTAAATTCAAACACCAATTATATGTCTTTCCATCTCAAGTGAGCACTTGTGCACCTTTGCCAATTGAGGTGTAGTGAGAAAACCAGCGTAAGTTCTTTTTCGGTCACAATTTCACAGTTAAAGCATTCGTGCTCATCACGGATTGTAGCAACATCAGTGAATGATTTTTTTCTCTCTCTGTACTGAGCAAGAACTCTCACCTTGTCACATCAGAGAAGTGCTTTTCTGTGTGTCCAAGCCCAGCGTCACTACTCCAGGCCCCAAGGGTGCCACTTTCAATCAAGCCCTGGGGTGAGACTTAGGCAGCTGTATAGGAAGCTCACAAATTATGTATTTCTGGAGCTTTCATCAGCTGCAGGTAATCGATAGTGTGGAAGGTAAAGCCTTTGAGAAGCAGGGACCCCTGTGTCACAGATGAATGGCTGAAAGCAAATACTCAGCTGGTCCCCTCTGCGCAGGTTACGAGCTCAGGATTTTGTGCTGCGGTCCACGGCTCGAGTCCAGGTCTGGCTCACCTGGGCGGAGTGCTCACCTGGAGGCTCGGGGAGAAACCTGCTCCCACATTCACTCAGATTATAGCAAATTCCAGTTCCTCAGGACCATGGGACAGCTGGGTGTCGGCTCGCAATGGTGCTGAGGTTCTGGAGCCCCTCCAGCCCCGTCCCATGTGGCCCCTCTGTCTTCCAGCCTGCTGGAAGGTCCTTGTTGACTCCTTCCAAAGCTGGGGGCATCTGGGCTTGACAGCACCTACTTGACTAGGCCAGGTCCCTCCAGGAGGCACCTGTTTTACTGCGTGAGGCGCTCCCTTGGCGACTCATTTTCCCCAGCTGCTTCCCTCAGGGCGCAGCCTGACCCCAGAGCAGGGCCGGGACAGCAGAGCACTTGAGTTGTGTATGTTTTGGCCCTCATGTGACACATTGCCTACCTACTAGCCCTTGTGGCATCACTGTAAGTGGGAATTGTGAATAAAGCACTTAAAAATGTAAAGCAGTTATGATGGTTAATAACTTTTGTGTAATTTAAGATGTATGTTGTTATAGGGAAGAAACTGGCAGTTTATTTCCAGATATATAGATTTTCACTATATAATGGTTTGCTGTAGATGTTGTATTTCAAACTTTTTCTACCCCTGGACACTTTTAATTATATAATACTGAACAGACCTATCTACTGAATTGTATTTTTATGATTAGAAGTCAGTTCTTAAACACTTTTTTAAAATAAACTTTTCCAAATACGGTGATGTATAATAGTCTCCTTTTTGTTTATAGTCCATTTCTTTAGTGTTTGGTTTCTCCTCATTTAATGAAAACCTGGGCATGGTGGCACGCCTGTGGTTCCAGCAGTCTGGGAGCCGAGGCAGAAGGGCTGCGTGCGACACAGCTACGTCATGAGTTCAACCTAGACTCCACAGCAGTGCCCAGCCTTGAGAGACAGACAGACAGGGACAAGCGGGAAGGGAAGGGAGGAGGGCAGTTGAGACTGGGGGACAGAGAGAGAGACAGGGAGGGAGAGAAAGAATGAAAAAGAGGGAGAGAGCATGCCTGCGTTGTGGAAGGGAAGCGTGTGCGGGCCGAGAGCGCCCCGCAGCTGAATGCTAGCCTCAGTGGCAGTTCCTGTGCCCAGCTGCTAAGTGGAGGAATGTGGGAGGCTGTGAGGCAGGTTTGATCGTCCGTTTTTACCCTCATGCAATTAGATAAGCATTTTGAGGACTAGAAATAAAGTTGGTGAAAGTAGCCACCAGCAGCCAGAAAGGCCCTGAGCACAACCGCACATGCATTTAACGCTGTTAGCGGAATTGTCCCTGCGCTCCTGTGCAGGGCTCCTAACTCTAACTCTCCTAACTTCTAACGCCTAACCCCCTTTTCATTTCCTTGCCTCTAAAGTTTATCTCCCTAGGTTCGATGACCCCGTCTCCTATTGTTTTAAAGATTTTTTTCAAAGATTTTCAGAGCAAGCTCTGAGCATAAGGCGCCCTGCCAGGTGTTTTCCCTTCTTCACCTGGCCTGCAGGCACAGGGGCTCCACGTTAGGAAAGCAGCGTGTCCTTCATAGGTCTCTCTGGCGTGAACCACACACTCAGCCTCAGCCTCAGCCTTCCCGAGCCAGTATCTATGCAGCTGCCAGAAATCTCCAAATTTAGTTAAAACTCTCACTCTCACCAATGCTGTCTTAAGTTTTTTGGCTCAGGTTTTACTTCCTATTTAACTCCCAGAAATCCCTCTGCCCTGCTTATTTAAAAAACTTTCAAAAACAGCGTATTATTAAAAAGCACTTAAATTAACAGAATATTCTATAATAAGCTTTGTACAGCCCTTTGAACACTTTCCATAATAACTTTCCTATCATTTGTCTTAAATTTTTATCTGTATTTCAAACTCATACGGAAAGACAAGGAGTTGACCCCAGTAAAGGGATACGCGTAACTGTGGGAATAGAAAAGTAGAAAGACTGGTCCCGGGCCCCGGACACAGCTTGTGTGTGGCCGGCAGGCCTGTGTGTCCTCCTGAGTTCAGCCATCAAGTGACATCAAGTGAAGCTCCCTGGGGTACGGCTTCAGTGCTGCCTAGACCCGCCATCAGCAGCCCGTACCTCCTAGCAAAAACCATAGGGGCGTCTTTTGGCGTAGTGTGGGCTATGGATCCTCCACCGTGCCAACTTGATTAAAAAGATTTGAGATCTTGCAGGTTCACAGACCAGGCCTGTTTCTATTTCATTTGCTCCTCAAGTGCTGAAAGGATTCCAGGGTTAATTGGCGTTTAGTTCTTTTGCTCTTAAATGTCTGGAAATGATAAGCCCTTTTCCTTTGAAAATGTGCACCTATGTTTTTATAATAAAGTTTCACAGATCCTTGAAGTCAGTTCCCTGGCTCAGATTCTTTCACTCTGACTTTTATAACTGTCTCTCCTTTATTGCCTAGAAAGAAACTTCTCAGTTCCTGGTCTGGAAGTCATCTTTCTCAGGAGTGTTTCCTATCACTGTCACCTTAGAGTCTATTATCTTATTAAATCTATCAGTTGGATTGAATGAAGTCTAGGAGTCATGGTTGAGTCGTAAGAAGGAATAATGATGTATTTAGAAACACTTGTAGCAGCAGTAAAAATCAGAAGAGGATTTGCTGTTCTTTATGTTGCCTGTGGGTCCAACTCGTAGAAATACTTACATCAGATGAAGAAAGGTCGCCAAGTTCTGGATATTTTGTTTCTCCTGCTGGAGGCGGAAGGTCACACCACTTCCTTTTCACCTGTGTTTGGGGACTCTGACCGTGTAGTTGGCGTCATCCTTGGCTGTCGTCAGAGCCTGATCTTCCATCAGGGGCTTGCCTTCCCAGTCGTAGCCAAACCATTGTGGGGGATCCTCACAGCTGTGCTCCTGCTGCTGCACGACCGACGACATTCTGAGAGCCGCCTCCCTGGAACAAGAGTGGCCAGCTTAGCTAGAAACACCACTGTCAAAGTGGCAAAGGTGAAATTGGAGAAATCAATGCTGTAAATCAAATTCCCTTGCACACCCTCTCGCCTTTCAGAAAAGGGCAACATACATGATTGTGCTCATAACCAGGCTCCCAGAGCCAAAGTAGCTCTGGTTCAGAGGTCACTGGACTCAACAAGTGGACAGGGAAATTGTGGTTGGCCGCGGAGGCCCTCGTTGGTGCCCCAGTTCCTTTGATGAGAGCTTAACTTAACCAGTCCATGCCACTTGGTCTGTAACCTGCTTTTTACTGAGGTGTGTGACTCAAAGAGGTCCATGGGCAGATGGTTAGAAATATTGAGGAAAGAAGGCTTGGAGGGCTCGTTTCTAACTTGAAAAGAGCTGTTTGGATGACAGGAAGTCATTCTTGCTTTTCTAGGAAGTTGGTCAGAATCACAAGACCAACACTAAAAAGGAAATGGGTGATCAGCCACTTCTGTTGGATTAGAAGTAACTTGTGTTGAAGCCTGAAGGGCCACTTTCCCTGGAGCCGGTCTCCGCCTAGGTTCCAAGCTATTCCAGCCTCTTTTATATAAACTCAAACCTAATGCCTCTTCTCTGAACTTCTTTAGGAAGTTGACCATGAATTTATTCTTTCCAGTACATAGCTCCCATGGCGTTGTTTTTGGTTGGCTTTAAAAAGAAGATCGGTTATGTAGGAGTGTATTGCTTTGCATGTCTCAGAGATGTAAGAAAACATCTCAAAGATGAGATTTCAGCAGCTTGCCCAGGTCTTGGCTTTGCTGGCCTGCTCTTCTAGGAGAGGCAGCCTGGGCTTCCTGCTTGGAGTGCCCTCTGCCCCTGTCTCCCAGGCTCTGGACGCTGAGCACTTTACAGTAACCAACACCACTGATGCTGACTGTGTTGTAACAGGGCTAACTATGGTGAGAGACCACAGCGGGCCTGACCTATAGGAAAAGGAAATATGTGTTGTAGCGATAAAGGATTTGCCAGTAGCTGAACAAATTGTGCTATCTTTTTGCTGGGGGTAGGAGTGAGACAGGGTCTCGCTATGTGATTTTGGCTGGGCCTAAACACATTATGTAGCCCACACTGGCCTCAGTGATCCTCCTGTCTCAGTCTCCCAAGTACTTCAAAAGCAGGCATGTGCCACTATTGTTAGCTTCTGAAAAGCAGCATTTTTTGAGAATCCTAGATAGCTGATATGAGGATAAGAATTCTTATTGCTAAATTTAGGAATGTGTAAGTGTTGGCTCATCCAGTTCCTTGGTCAGCTACAACCTGGGGTAAATTTGGGATAATTGTGATTTTTTTAAAAATTAGAAAATAGTGATTGTTTCAGAAAATTATAAGAAAAAGTCAGTGTTAAAATAAATATAAGAAATGTGGGGGAATTCATTGCTGTGGGGCAAAATTCAGTGCAAGGCTGCATGTAGAGCTGCAGCCATGAGGTACACAGCAGTAATGAATGTCTTTATTTCTGGGCTCCTTGTCCCTTATCCTAATCTTCCTGGTGAGAACCCCTCCCTGTTCCACCCACAGGCAGCATCCGTGGATCCAAACGCCAGTGGGTCTCCTGGCCGCTGGGCTCAGCAGAATTGGTCTCAGACCCTCCCTCTGGAGCTCCAGAATGCGAACACCTCCTCCCATCTGTCCATCTATAGGAACATTTGAGCCTGGGTGTGTTCACACAGAACAGTTCTGGAGAGAGACTAAAAATTCAAGTCTATTCCAGAGCAAATCTGAGATTCTTTTTAAAGGAGCTTGAATGCTGGTGTGGGCCTTCTCCACTGCCCCCAGGCTCCATTTGTACCCCACTCTACAGAGTATCCTTAGCCCGTAACCAGGTGTCTTTGCCACCTTCCAGGGACAGGTTCACCTGAGACTTGGAACTTCACCAAGAATACAGACCAACAAGGTGCTTACCAGCCAGTGTTCTGAATTTTTTCGTTTATCATAGCAACCTACATAGCTGCACCTACTCACTTACACGTTAAGAGTATTGAGACCCTTGACGCTGTAGAATCAGAACGTTTGTTCCAGGAGGAGCTCGCTTTTCTCCCCTCCACCCCTCCTCTCCTCGCATGGCGTATGCTAGTATTACAGTCAGACTTGGAAGATGGTGTAGGAGCCAAGGTGTGTGCAAAGTTCATGGACTGCGTTCCCTGCTCGCCTGGCCTGAGCCACTCCAAGACCCTTGATGAGACGGGCCGTGAACTGAAGCTGTCTAGAGCCCTGGTTCGTTACTGCTCCGCCAGCCTGCTGAGGGGTTTCTTTGCATTGGTGTGGAAGAGTGACTTTCCAGCATGATAGGTCACAACCAGCTGTAAGGGGTCAAATTAAATGGTTAATGTGAAGTTTGTGTGGATTTTTGCTTTTTCTAGATTAAAAGGGGTTCAAGGTAGTGACATCATTCACCTGATATTTCCTTCTTGTTTCCTGGGCAGGCAGAGGGGAGCAAGGGTGCAGAGACTGCTTGTGCTCAGCGTCTGTGTCATGAGGCAAGTGGGCATAGCAGGTGCTCACTGGGCACACTCAGCCTGGCACTCGCTTCCCTGAACAGCACGCTTCAGTGCGGCCTGAGGATGTCACCATAGGCGGCAGCAGGGCAGCACAGCCATGACTGACGCCTGGTCAGGGCCGCCTCTTAACCTGTGCAACCTTGGGTGTTGTTTAATCTGTTTCAGCCACTTTTCTTATTCATTTGTATGGTAATGGGATGTTTGTGAGGATTATATAATAGTATATGTAAAGAAGATAAAGATATTATTTGCTCATACTGACAACATAGCTGCAGATGACAAAGGCTTGAGCGCTTCTCTCAGCTGGAGAGGAGGGAAAGTCCAGGAAAAATTTCATTCCCAACAGCATAGCTGTCTCGGGGTGCCTGAGTGTCAGCCCGGCCGCGGCTAGTGGAGACCTTCAGGGAATTTCCAGCAGCTAGGTGGGCTCTGAAGGCCACAGAGGTTTTCTCTCCTGATCTCTCCAGAGTTGACAGTTTTGGGCTCCAGACACAAAAGTATCTGAAGGCCCCTTTGCTGTCCTTTGCTAATCAGAGCAGGGATCATGCACTCTCCAGCGCCTGTGCGGCACGCACCCGGCTGCATCGTGGGGATCTTTCTCCCTCTGTCCTACTCTCTTTTTCCTCTCTGTTGCCTCTCTGCTTCCCCCACCAAGGCCCTCTGGAGAGCCACTAGCTGTTACACGACTGCTTCAAGTACAGACAGCTAGAGTTTTTCCCTGTTTTATGATTGTGGCTGTCACTACTTCCTCACTCCGGTTACTGAGACTCAGTCCCAGGCACCCGAGACTTCACAGGGAGGTTTTCTGTGGCTCCTGGTCTGCGACATTTCAGTCCGGGCTCAGCAGGCCCAGTGTGGAAACAGTGGGCAGGCAGAAGACCCGCCCCAAAGCCAAGCTGCTCACCCACCTGCAGGATCCAGGAAGCAGGGGGAGGAGCCAAAAGGGAGCTTTACCATCCGGGCCATGCTCAGGCGAGCACCGTCTCTGACCAGGCCTTGCCTCCTGCCCCGCATATTCATCAGTAGATTAGTTCGCCAATGAATGTAGTGTCCCCCTGATCCAGTCACCTTCCAAGAACCATGACATAAGGACACGTGAGACTTTGGGGGATACCCTAGATCAAAACCATAGTAGGTCCTTTGTCTCCCTCTGTATGGGGCTTCTGGTGTCAATTTCAGCCACTGGCCTTGGTAGAATAGCAGCTGTCTCTTATGCTAAAATCTTATGCAAAGGAGTTATAAGCAATCTGCCCATCAACCCAAATTTTGTTCCTTTCTGGCTTAGGAAGGGCGGGCTGAGCAGACCTCTTTGCTCTGCAAATCTGGCGTGGTATTTTCAGATTCTACTGAGTACAGGGGAATTTGAACACACAGTTCTTACTGAAGGGTATAGTTTGAGTATAAAGGTGGAATCATATGTTTTCATGTTTAAAATGGCTCCAAGTCAATGAACTGATTCCCAAGCAAAAAAAAAAAAAAAAAAAATCCTACCATAGCTCAGCTAACAAAAGGTTCTTTTTGCCTAGGTATGAGGATGTCGGCAGTTGGGCCCATCCTGGCTGTGGTGAGAGCACCCAGGTGTGCTTCGGCAGAGTGCAGGTGAGGCGTTAGAGATCGTCCCCTGAGCTCCCCTTACATTGTGCAGCTCAACTCCCCCCACCCAAGGATCTAAGTGGAAAAGGAAGCTGCTCCTTAGCCCCGGGGCTGACCCCAAACAGCTGCAGGCAGCCAGGCCTCACTACTTCTGTAACATTAGAGGCCCCGGAATGTCGGGAGCCCCTCGATGGACAAGCAGCATGCTCTCTTAGATGTTGGATGTAAACACAGATGCTCCTGAATCTTAGCAGTCAATCCCTGGAGCTCTGCAGAGCACTCTGCAGTGAGGACTGTCCTCCACTGCCAGACGGAGAGAATCAAAGTGTTCTCGGCCTCTCTCCTGCTGGGGCCGAGCAGAGATGGAGCCTTCGGGGGGACTCAGTGGTGGTGCTCTGGCCTCCTTAGAGAGGTGCAGGCCAGGCTGGCCTCAGTCCAGACACCAGGGCCAAGATGCTGCTTTTTGCAGATTAGCACAGCCAGGCTCTGTGGCAGAAAACAGAATGAGCCTTTTGCTATCCCAGCTTAGACTTTCCACGGATTTAGCTATAATTAGAATTTTGCACTGAGGTTTGGGGATAAAACCCAGGTAAGCAATAAAGTCTTACTTGGCTTTATTTTGTCTTCATTGAATATTTTGATCTAGGGACCTTGCAAGAAGACTGAGTAAAGGCAGGACTTAGCTATTACCAGATAGATACCCTGGGTCTTCTTGACCAGGTATTTGTGTAGCTATATGAGTAGGTCCATGCCAGAGTCTCCACTCATTTGTTCTAAAAATAAAACTTAATGCTGAGAGCCACTGCATATTACAAACGCCCCTGGGTTTCCACAGGAAGCAGCTCTCGCAGCCTGCCCTGAGCGCTGCACACTCACGTGGAGATCTGCCTGCAGTACTGCATCTTGAGGATCCGGAGCTGTCTGCAGCCCCGCTGGAGGTCACTGAGGATCTGGTCGGTGAGCAGCACGCATCCAGAGATGTCCAAAACGTGCAGGTAATGGCACTTTGCAGACAGCATCTCTATCGCGGAGTCTGTGAACTGAGGACAAAGCAGATTGGTGAATACTGATTATTCAGACTAACTCCATCCCCTGGAAGTACAGTGTCTTGGTCAGCTGAGGTTGCTACCAGAAGATAAGAGATCATGACTTGAACATCAGGCATTTGTTTCTCGCATTTCTGGAGACCTTGAGGCCCAAGGTCAGCACCAAGATCCAGATCCCTGCTCACGTCTGGCGCCGGGTGAAGGCTCTCCCTAGTCCGCAGAAGTCTGCTTTCTTGCTGTATTCTCATGTGGCACAGGAGAGAGAAAGTCTCTCTTTTTTTATTGGCAGTACTTGGAACTGAACTCAGGGCCTTTGCACTGAGCTACATCCTCAGCCCCTTTTACTTCTATTTTCAGAAAAGGTCTAAGTGGCTAAGTGGTTAAGTTGCCCAGGCTGGACTTGAATTTGTGGTCCTCTTATCTCAGCTTCCCAAAGTGCTGGGATTATGGGTGTGTGCCCCATGCCACGCATTCCTGTTCTTATCAGGACAAAAGCCCATATGAAGCTGCACCCTCACAAGCCCTCTAAACCTACTCACCTCCCAAAGCCTCACTTCCTGGCCCCTCACACGAGCATTGTGGGTTTTCTCCTATGGAGGGGACACCCAGGCACTCACTCCTGAGCGAGCAGAGTAAGGACCCCGTGGCGTCTTCTACCCAGGCTATACTAACATGCTGGTCAAGTTAGTGGTTCAACCCCATTTCTAGATAAAATCAGAATGGTAAACTATCTGCCTCAGGGGCATCAATAAAAGTTGTGATCTTGCAGTTATTTTTGTTGACAAGACCTCTGGTTTGGATGAGAAACTTCCTTAATCATGCCTGTCACACCAGTGTGAGCAACTTAGGGAATGCTACAGACTCCGGCTTGGCTTTACATGTAAAAATTCACCCTAAGGCTTCCTCAGTCCAAAAAAAAACGTGTTTGATAATGTCCCTTACAGGATCCGCTTCAAGGAGGGGCTGGGACATCCCTGATGGACAGGGGGTAGGGACAGAGGGAGGGCCTGGCTCTGGATAGGGACAGGAAGGCCAGACAGACATTTGGAGGAGAAAGATGAGCAGAAGCCACAAAGGTGACATCAATCCTCTCCTAGGAATGCTGCTCGGGTTCCAGCGTCTTGCAGGTTTGCCCAGATATCCTGCAGCGGTGATTCAGCCCATGACTCAGTTTATTTCCCTCGCTCAGACCTAGCTCTTGAATTTATAGCTGAGCTGAGACTTGCCACAGAATCAACTAGATTAATCTCTTCCCAGGAATGTTTTTTCCAGCTGGATTTAATTTATTTTTTGGTCACACATTCTAAAAAACATATGCCGTGAGACTTGGCCCTTGCCTTTTAACATAAAGAGAAATATGTAGAAAAGCCCTTTGGATGAAAACATATACTTTGTGAGTTTGGAAAAATAGATGCTGTCATTGTCTAAACATGCACTGTTTCCAGAACATGCTCAGAACCGAGGTTCACCAGCACAGCTGATTCTCACAAAAACACCTCCAGACATCCCTGCTGTACTATATGGGTCTCTGATGGTCTGCTGTCATTGAAAGGACAAAGTCCTTGCCATCAAAGAGCTCAGGAAGGACAATGAAGTGACGGACATGTCCAGGGCAGGTGGTACTCCAGGGGCTGATTTCACTTAATGGGGAGAGCGGAAAAGGAGCCTGAAGTTTCCTATAGATCAGAAGCTCAAGATGTTTAGCAAGGGTGGTGGAATTTGGGGACATACAGGTGGAAGGCTGAGAACTGGGGCTGCAGATGACTCAGTGACCTCTCTAAGTCTCAAATGCAAGGTCCTGGTCCCAGCCCCATGGCTCAGGTTATATTATTCCCAACACAGCTCCCTTTCAGGCTTTGGGGGAAAAACAAACATTTAGATCTATATTTTAAATAAAATTATTTCATGTTTGAGAAATAATATAAACATATTACCAAATAAAATTACCGAAAATAACACAGGAAAAACAAATTCATCACCTTAACATAGCTACCTTTAATATTCTGCAGTGTTGCTTAAGTTCCAGAGAAATTTTTTTTTTTTGGAACCAGGGATTGAACTCAGATCTTTGCATTTGCCAGTCAAGCGCTTATCCTACTGAGCCATTTCCCGGGCCCTCAGAGAAGTTTTACAGACATTGCCCCCTGCTAAACATCACCACTGTCATCCCCTCCCCATCCTTCCTCTTTGCCTTCCTGGACTGTGAAGAGGCTTGGCCCACTCAATGAAGGATGCAACTTGGTCACTTTGTCCAGTAAAAAAGGAATCCACCTTAGCTGGGGCTCTAGCCAGTTATTCTAGGTGTAGCCCACAGGTGGCTTGCAGGACAAGGATGACCCTGGACACAGCCACCAAAATATGAACCACCCTGCTGGACCCAGTCCCAGATGCTTCCCACACAACTGTGAGCAAATACAAGGGGACTTTTAAGCCACTGAGTGCTAGGATGCTGGTCACTCAGCAGTGAGTAAGGACACACCAGCCAAAACCACATGCCCAGAGCCTTACTCTTCATGGTACATGGTAAAGTGTGACCCATTGGTCTTTTCCTTTCCTTACAATCATTTTGAAACCTGTAGTGATTTTCTTCATGGTTAGATTTGAAATATCTAGAGCTTGAATTTCCAAATATAGTAGCCAGCTGTAGTAAGAAAATCAAGACTCAAAGGGTAGGATTGTCCTGGGAATCCCCGAACCAGCAAATATCTTTTCCCTCCTTCATGCTACATATATGTGGAGCTGGACTGAAGATACTTCACTAAGTGTTGAACCATTTGCCAAGGGCCCTCCCTGTATCCTTCTACTCTCAACATCTATAAAAAATGTAAAACAAACCAAGAGTGTTAACTCCCATCAACCAGTGTCCTCAGAGCCTTGGCATACTGCTGGTAACAGGCTTTTCCAGTAGAATGTCTCTCTGGATTGGTATGAAAGAAAGTGTGCACCCTGGTCTATGCTGCATCTAGTCCAGAGCCTTGGGGAGAGCAGCGGGGCTTTGTGAGCTGGCTGTCACCTCGGACGTGTCCCTTCTGCAGGATGTTGCCTGAGGGGTCTTGGACTAACCCAGTTCTCTTTATTTTCTGGCTTGTTGTTCTCAACTAGAGAACTAGAATGTACTGGGAGCCCAGCAGTCTGCAATAGGGTGGTGGCACTGGCTAGGACAACAGGGCTCTGCCCGGGTCTGAACTTGTGTGATGGTTGCTGTCTAGATGTTCCCCCAGCATCTGTGGTCCTAGGGTTTTCTTCAAGGTTGATAAATCTAGAGTGTGACTGATTCATATAGTGCTATGCTGGGATTAAGGGTGGGTGAATGCTGGATCAGTCTACTGGTTGGATTGGCACTGTCCTAATCCTAATAGGCTGCATAGAATATAAGGGACAGAAAGAGGCGGTCTCTGCCCACTTGTTACCTTTGCTGTCTTCTGCTGTCTTGAGCTGTTGCCCCTCTGCCATGTGCCACCCTGCCTTGGAGCTAGGAGATCATGGGCTGAAACTGATATATGGGAAAAAACTCCCAACCTGAAAGATATCTGGGACTAGTGTGCGTTCTCCAAAATCAAAGCATGAATTTTAGGAACAATGGGTTAAAAGCATAATTAATTTATTGAAGGAAAGAAAGCTTCAGTCCAAGAGAGGATCAGAAGGGGACTTGAGTGGGTTGCCAAGGAACCTGCCTTTTCTAGGGATTTTTATAGAGCAAATCCACAAGGTAAGGAGGGTCCAAGGTGGGAAACATTGGAACTTGCAAGATGGGCATGAGGTAGGACAAAACCATGGTCAACAATAAGATCACAAGTATAATTGCTCAGGTAAAATTGATTAAATCAGAATCAAATGGGGAAGCCAGTCACACAGCAAGAGGACATAAACATAGAATAGGGGCTCTTCCTGTAGGGGTTGGGTTAGGGCTCTCCCTGGCTTTTACAAGGTGAGTGATACCTAGTTAGAATATCAATCCCTGATGTTCATCCCTAGGGAGGCATGTGGGTACATTTGTTTAATCTTTTGTCTTGCGGTCCAGCCTATAGCAGAGAAGCGTGTCTCTCCCACAGTTACAAGGTGTCTTGTCTTCCACATTGGCTCCTTCAAGAGCCTGGCCCTGTCTGACTGTCTATAGTATTTCTATCTAACTCAGCTGCCTACATCAAAACCTCCACAAACTATGAACCAAATACCTTTTCCCCTTTAACTTGGGTGTCAAGTGTTTTGTCTCAGTAGAGAAGAAAGAAATTAAGGCATATCTGGACATAGCATTTCCCGAGGCTTTAGCACAGCAGGTCATTTTGCCACTAGGCTATAAAACCCAAGCAAGGGGCCACTTCCTGTCACCTACACCTTCCTGACAGAAACACTGTTCCAAAGTTCAGGTCTACTATAGCTTTTTCTCATTAGTGCAATGCAAAAATAGTTTACAATTATTATTCAGAGATTCAGTTTAATTTCTTTCTCTGAATCCTTATTCTCCCTTATAAATTAACTCCTACCTGAAATAAAGGGCATGAGGATCAAAGATGACTGTTAGGATAAGGCCTTTAAAGTAGGCCCATTGCATGGACTAGGTTGTTTGTGGCTCACCAAAAGTGAAAGAAGTAGATTCAATTAGGTTGGGTCACTGGAGGTAAAATGAGCTGAGGAATATTCAGGTTGGCCCAAACAGTGGTCACCACATTGTCTGAATTAGGGTGCTCATTGATAGGTTCCAGCCTGAGTACAAACTGCTAAATTATCATGGCCCTGATTCAACATGGCTGAATTCCTAAAACAACAGCTTATCTTCTCCATGACCACTTTCTCCTCCTTCCCCACACCAGCCCTAGATACACCTTCCTTCTACCTTTCAGGCACACACTACGGAGCCTCCACTCAGCTCCTATGTGTCCCTGAAGCTGCCCCTCAAACTACTCCCCCAACAGAAGTCCACAAAGTCTCATCCTCCCTGGCTCAGGTCAGAAGATCTTCCCATCTCTCTGCCCTTGGTCCTCTCCATGTATTCA